CCTCCATCCTTCCCTATCTCTGTGCAGAGGGAGCAATTATGGCTAGAGATTTTTTCTTAAGGCCACATGTTTGCATATCAATTTCCATAATTAGATCAGATTTTTGTCCTTAATTTTTATATAAATTTATACATTTGCAGTGCTTCGCTTGTATAGGCTCTTTGTTTTCTGTGCCCTAGCTAAGCTCCAGTGCCTTAACTTTTTGTATGTAATTCCGTGACCCACTGATTTCTCTGAGTAGTAGCTACAGACAGTCCGTGCAGAAAGGTGTTGAGAATGTTTCTTATGTGTGCAGTAGCCTATACAGTCAAGGGGTGAAAAAAGTCATAAACAGGAGTAGGTCTTTATCCTTAGTTTTCAACATGGTTATACGTTGGAATCCATTGCACTGGTACTGACAATACTGCTTTTTCTTCATGACTACGTTAGCCATGAAAGCATGCTGCTGTGGAAAGAGACCAATGGATAATGATCACAATAAACTATTTTATTTATGTCCTTATCTGTAGGATCAGAAGAGGTTTTGTCCTGGAGACAATATGCATAACTTCTAGGTAAATAATCTCTTTTCCTTGTATAGTTTTACGCTTCACTAGTTACTCACCTGCTACTTAGCCATAGAACACTCTTTGTTCAAAAAGAATCAGAGAAAGCTGTGGACTGTTGTGTGACTTGTGGTGACTGGACCCAGAAAAGGGTCTGCAGCTGCAAGAGTCTTATTTGTTTATGTGCCTTATTAGCTAGAAGTGAAGTTCACAATGAAGGCTGCTGACAGGACAGCTCTTTAGTACGGAGACTGAGAATAAAGATTTGGCCAGGCTTGTCTTAAGTATCTTGTCTGACTAAAAAGCACTTGTTAGTTCGTACACATATAGAGTGGAAGTAGTTCTTTTGGATGTGGGTGCAATTTTGATAAATAAAGATAACACTTGAGAATTTATCCTAGACATCAAAATAGTAAGTCCAAGCATTATCAGAAAGCAAATATACTTCAAAGTATTTCATTCAACTGATCTATGAAAGTAATCAGTGAGCTACTGAGGTACCTGTGCTAAATGGTTTGTTTGTTTATTTACAAGAAGAAAGCTGTAGTCCTATGGTTTTGAATAGTAACGTAACTACTGAAGCGAGGGTACAATGGATGCTATCAGAAAAGCCCCATATGGGTGCACTTTAGATCTTTTGAATACCACAAAAGTTTAGTGACCTAGAAATGAATCAATAAAAAGCCATCCTCTATGTGACAAATTGAAGAACTGAGGGATTCTTACAGATGCATTGACTTTAACAATTCAAGACACACTGTTTGTAAAGGCTTTCTGAGACACATTTAATCCTTAGAGTACTGTAGCAGACTATAAGGTGTTTTATATTTAGATCACTCTCCAATAGTTCATTTCCTATTTTTACTGTAAGTTTTTACTGTTATGAAAATCAATGTAAGACTAAAGGAAAGGCTAATGCTAGAATGGTATGTCCTTACATTGAATGTAAATGTTCTTAATTTGCTAAATTTAAAATTCCTTATTGTTTTGAAAAATGTGTTTTGGAAGGGTATGGCAGTGTAAGAACCTCTTTAGTCCCGTTGTATTACAAATAAATCTTATCACTCAATAAAATTAATTATAATCTTGGATAGGTCAGTAAAAGGCTTTATATCCCTGATCCCCATTGCTTCACTTCTGTGGTTTGTTTTAACATTTCAGTATTTCAAATAAAATTTGAGTAAATATCTCGTCTTAGTTTAGTTAAATAATCATCAACACACAGTATGTTTCCTTACATTTATCCATGCTTTATGGAGTTTCTATGTTATGTTTGGCACAAAGTTGAGCATATTGTTTACTGTCTAAGGAATAATTAATATAAAAAATGATGATCCAGAAAGACTCTCCATATAGTTGCATGCATATACGCAAATCATAAAATACTTGCACTAAATGAGATATTGGCTTATATTCAATTAACGGTCAGTTAAGTCCTGTCCACATGCAATACAACTCTATTTTTGTGTCTCAAATGGTGAAGAAGTTGAACTTTAACCTGTAGATAAAAATTAAGAAATCAAGAGTTTTGATTCACCAAGGATGATATAAATGTTACAGGTGAGGATCCTTCCATAGCACCCAACTAGTGTTCCTTTTCCTCTTTTGTTCAAAAGGAGGGAGGTCTAACAAAATTGTCTCCCTCCACTGATGTCTGCTGCAGTGAAGGGATTATATGTGAAGTTTGGTGCCTTCTTTCAGATAGCTCAGACAATTTAAAAAAGAAAAAAAAAGTAGATATCATGCTGTCATTTTGATTTTTAGAGGGCTTTGGCTCTTAAATTGAGAGCTTCATAGATGGAGATTAGCACAGAATTCAATATACTGTGAATAATATATTACCAATTACATTGCAGTAAGCAACCAAAGCATAAATAACTAGGGAGAGCCAGCGTTTAGGGAGCAAGAGCTATATGTGTTCCTGGACTCCAGCTATAAGGGAGGATACTCTGCATATGGGGTTCTTTTTTCCTCTTGTTGAAGCAGTTTAAGATCTAAGCAGGGTCCAAAGATTATATTTACAAAATAAGACTTTAGATAGTGTCAGTTCTACATTTTGCTTCTGCAACTGTAACGTTTCGGTTTTATCTGAATTGAATCTTGCTTCTATCCTAGTGTCATACGTGGATCTACATCCTCAGTCACAGCGCAACGTATGGAGCTAAGTTACTAGGAAAGCAGTTTTTCAGTAACACTATTAATGGCATTTTAAGTGTGTGAGAGTATACTATATCAAATATGTACTTAAGAGCTCCAAACTTTTAAGGAAATTGCAGTTTGTAATTCTGTAATGGTTTTGGAAGTCAGTCCTGCTGGAATTTTCATAAGGAACCCAGTGCTGTCAACAGTAAGCTATTGTCAGTACTGTACTTTTTACAATACTGATCAGTCCATATTTTTCACTAGACCGTTATTTTAAAAAAAAAAAAAAAAAAGTGCTATTGGAAGTACCTGAGAAGGCTAATATGGCCTCCTAAGCAGGTTATCAGTGTCAAAGGTAATTTATATTAATACAACCTGAGTTCTTAAAACCCTCAGACTCTACAATAAGCTGGATATCAATGGCTATGGCTAGTACCAGTAGCAATAGTGTTGTAATTAGTGTATTCCCTTTGGCTTATTTGGATGTCCAGTTTTATGTAATTTCTTGTTTTAGCAACTGTGTTATGAAGCATTTTTCTGTATCTTGGAATGTTGCTTTAGAGTCACTTCCACTTCATTTCTTGGCCTTAATGAAAGGGAAACTTTAAGTATTTCTCCTTAACAACAAAGTAGGTAATCTTGACACTATATCTGTAGGGAATACTCTGAAGAAGAAAGAAGAAAGAAATGAAAGAAATAAATTTTCCAAATTTTAAGGACATACTTTTTTTTTTTTTCCCCCAAAGGTAAAAGGTATCCCAAATACTAAATTAAAAAGTAAAATTTAAAAAACAGGAAATAAATTCTGTTTTGCCCAATATGCCACAGAGGATGGGGAATATCCCTGGGAGAACTGTTCCTTCTCAAGTTAATTTGAAAACTTGTGGTTTTAATTTTTTTCTCTTGTTAATCTAAGCACTGAAAGTGTCAATACTTGTGCATGATATTAGGAGGGTAGCAATGCAACGCTTATTTTTCTGATTTGTTTTTTAAGTTTCTCCACTGCTATTAGTGTTCTTCGTCCTTTTTGGATATACATCTCCTTTCTTCCTTTCCTCCTACTCCACTTCCTTGGTTCTTTTTGACTCTTATCTCCAAAACATACCTATTCTGGTAAATATCAAAGTTATATTATTTTTGTTTTCTTTGTTTAGTATTTTTTGCAAGTTAGATATGATGACAGCTTTCCTATTTTCTGACTTAGTTATTGGTTTTGTGGTTTTTCTTTTAATATTTTCATCTACAATTCATAGTGGGGAGGAAATTGTTGCTAAGTCACACAGAGAATGGATAAAGTGACTTGTTGGTTCTGTATAAGGAAAATCTAGCTCCCTGTGTTTTTCTGCCACGACATCCCTGTGTATTATCTTCCAGCAGAGAGATTAACAGATGAAAAAGTGAAACCTTACATTGTTGCATTTACTTTTCTCCCAAATAAAATATTTCAGATAACTTTCTAAATAAATGTCAGAAATATCTTGTTTCAAAAGGCATGATGTAAAATTTTACTGGAAATTTAATCAGATAGTTATATTGTTAGGATTTCTTTTTTTGCTAGTATTAACATTGCTATTGTTTATAATTCCTATGAATAAAGAAAATCAGAGATGGTTCACATTTCAAACCTTTCAATTGTTATTTACTCATTCACTTCCCCCATAGTTTTGAGTTTTAATTGTGTGAAATTCATTAAGACTTTATAATTCTGGTAATTTTTGGTACATAACTTGCAACAGAGAAGCTGAAGGAAATATTTACCTTTATGAAGTCAGTGGGAGTTTGTATGTTTATATCAGTAGGCTAGTATTCACAATGTCTGTTAACAAGTATTGTCTCACTTAAACTGTAAGTTCATATGTCTGTTGAATGTCTGTATAGCTTTCAAAAACAGCATTGCAAATTGTCTGGTTTTTCAATATATCCATTGGGTTTGCCTGTTTTTGTAGTTCTCACAGTTTTGAAAGAAATGCCAATGTCTCCATAAGAAATGATACCTTTGTATAGCTTTAGCTTGGAAATCAAATGCATGAACTTGTAAGATATAAGCTTATATTTTAGAATCAAATGCATAGAATCACAGAATGGTTTGGGTTGGAAGGGACCTTAAATATCATCTAGTTCCAACCCCCCTGCCATGGGCAGGGAAACCTTCCACTAGACCAGGTTGCTCAAAGCCTCCAAACTGGCCTTGAACATGATTGTGAACTATTTCTCTGGCTTGAAAAATTAGGAACACAATATTATCAAGCATTAGTTTTAAAGCTTTGGAATCATATTTTACTTATTAACTCTATTGTGTGTTGTGTACTCCAGGAGGCAGACTAAAAGAGGGCTTTTGTAGTGTTGTGAAAATACAGGTGGGTGATTTATCTAATAAAAAAGGAAAAATTCCAACCATTCTTGTTTTCACAGAGGAAGATAAATATGGTCTCTACTCCAACTTGTTGTTCAAGTATTTTCTGGCAGAGGGAGTTCTCTGTGGACATGATTTGTTTGTTGCTTCTGCTAAAGAGCATCCTGACAACATCCTAAAGGTAAAGAAAACTCATAGCTTTTGACAAGCTGTAATCTCTTGATGAATTTAAATACATTTTAAAGTGTATATATTGTGTACTAAAAATTAATTAATCTCAGTGATTCATAAGAATGTGTTGGGAAGTGCAGAAGTAATTGCGCTAGCCAAATTTGGGAATTAAGTTTAGCTTACTAGCCTCCACCTATAGACAATGGAGTAAGATCCTCCACCTATAGACAATGGAGTAAGATCCTCCCAAGGCCAAATCAGGCTAGGAGACTCCTTGTCCTTTATTTTGATTACGGGTGAAAACCAGACAAACTAGCTTGCTTAATTGATTAGTTTGAGTAAACCTAACTGTTTACAGTTTTCACCTGCCTGTCACGAAGAGTAGTTAAGCTGCTTGAAATATATTGTGGTGGAAACAGTGTCAGCTTTTGATCAGGTCATATAGAAAGGCTCCTTTCAGACTTCAGAGAGATCCTAATCAAACACTGATAGTTTCCATTATAATGAAATTATAGAAGGGAAAAAGCCTGATCAACATTGCAAAAAATGCTGAAGTGTGAGGATAATCCTACAAAATTTTATTAAATATTTTATGTCTTTCTAAGGCTGATTTTTCTTATATCAAAAGTAACATATAATTTACTGATTACTTCTGCATCAAGTGAAGTCTGGCTACTTCCTTAAGAGTCTTCAGAGACTATTTCTGAATAAAATGATTACTTTTCTTTTTTCCTACCTAGTGGTAGATTCTATGCCTTATTTATTCAATAAAATCTTCAATAAAGTATATTCTTCAGAATAAGTACATTCTCAATGAAACTATATGATTGTGGTTATGAAAAATCTATTTTTTTTTTTCATTATCTTGAATCTAGAGAGGGTTAATTTAGGGATGAAATTTTAATAATTTGTTCTTGTGGTTTAGAATATAGCCTAAATAAATAGGTTAGAATTTGATTGTGAAGTATGAATTATAGAAGAATGTGCTATTTTTTTAATAATATTTGTTTTTAAATAACTGATAATGAAGTCATTGACTCTCTGTACAATACATGATCATTGCAGTTGATTTTCTCATCAAAATTAAATTATTCAAATGATTATTGCATTGCATTAAAATTTCTTAAAATGGAGTAGCTAACATACATTTAATTCTTCTTTCATTCATGTTTGAATCAATTGTTAATAGCCTGCTGTATGTTTCCTAGCTCCTGTTAATCAACAGACATTGTTACACACATCTGTCCTTGTACCAGTTTGAGTTTCTTGTCAGTTAGTTCGATGTGATTTATTGAGCTCTGTTACCTGATTTGGAATAAGTTTTCCTTCTTACTTTTCAGGGGTAGACAGTAGGTTCTGCATTCCTCTGTTGTAACTCCATAGCGGTGTTACTATAAGAGATTATAAATGGATGGACAATATTACTACAGGAAAGTTAAGGAAAACATAATTTTGCCATGTTTTCTTCCTTTGTGCGTTTATATATCCAAACAGTACTCTTGTCTATGCTTTTCTGCTCTGACTATTCAATACTTCCTTTGCTTAACAGACAAGGCACAGCAGAGTTGATTTCTCTGATTTGTATTACTGTCTTGAAATTGCTTCAGTGAAGTAACCCAGTAATATGCTGGGCATCAATCTAGAAAATTATGTACTTTCACGTTTGGAAAGCTTAGGCACTTATGGTGGAAACAATGTACAGTTCGTGTATGCATAACAATGCCAGTATGTTACCTAAAAATCATTATTGCCTCACCTGGAAGAAGCCAATCTACAATTGGCATTGGCAACAGTTAGGTCTCCATATCACAGAAGTAGAGGAGTTTTCCCTAGAACTGCCTCACTTGACTTTTTTAAAAGAGAGAACCTTCAGGTACTTCTCAAAGTCCTCTCCTGGCATAAAATGAGCTGTTTGGGATTTGTATGTCTCCACCAAGTCATGATTATAATATAACATTTGACCATTGAATAACATTGCATTTTATTTAATGACATTAGTAATTAATTTATTTTCAGGATCTGATTAGACTGTATTCTTTACTGGGAAGATAACCTAGGTATGGTACATGTCGACCTGAATTGGGCATTTTATGCTTGACTTTTATTTTAGAAAATTCAAGTATGGATTCAATATATTCTATAGCTAGTATTCTAATTAACTGGTGTTTTATATGAAGGCAGTTCCCTAACTGCCTTATGTCCGTATTGTGTGGTCAGTCTATTTATACATTCAGTTCTCTGCTGAGATGCCATAATTGCCTTATTCTAATTTTATGATGTGATTGGAAGTTTCTTGAACCTATAACCAAGACAAATATTGCTGGTAGTAAGAAGGGGAAAAGACATTCTTATAGACCATAATTATCTTGAAATTGTGTATAACTAAAAGACAAGCAGAGGATAAAAAGCCCTGATCAGCTGCCTAAGATATATTATATTACCACCCACCAATTTATCCATCATCCTTTGAAAACATATTCATGCCTTTTGTAGTCAAAGCTTCTTCAGGAAATTGGCATTAAGATGTAATGTTGAAAAATTATACACCTCTGGTAAAACCTACAGAACTATATACATGCTGGTTTTTAGAAAGTATTTTAAACATTTAAAAGCATTTCTGTTCAGTCTCTATTCTTCAACAAAAGGCAACTTTTTACTATGAGGGCATAAATCCTGGGAATAGTGCACAATGTAAGAAAAAGTATGGTATACTTCTGTGATAGATCATAAAACTGATTGCATTGGTAAATGGAAAACTAATTCAATAATAAAATGACTGAAGGAAGCATTCTATCTTAACATTCCATTTTCAGTACCATACCTTATTAAGTTTAGACTACAAATTATGAAAGGTTGTTATGTAGTTAAGCTTAAAAACAAAGAGAAATTAATTAAGTAGATAGGGTTTTTTCTTGTATCTTATTTCCTTAACTTCCCTGTATTTAGTGGCTGTATTTTTTTATAATTCTGCACTCAATACCAGCTATTTTGAAGTTGCGTGTCGTGTATGTGTTTGAGAATGAGACATAGAAATTTGAGTATATGGTTATTTTTATTACAGAGGAAATCTTGACTTAAACACTGTTATGCTTTTTGCAAGAAACAACAAGCAATGGGGTTGAATATTTCCTTGAGCATCACTGTAGCCAGAATTAGAACAGGCTTGCATGCACTCCATGTTAGGCTGGGTACCAAACTGGCTTCTGGAAGCCATAAAGATACAGTAATTATATAAGGAGCTTAATCCTTTATGCCCGTTCTCCTTATTAGTACCAAACTATGGTTCCAGTCTTAAAAAAAAAAAAAAAATTCTATATTTCTCGCTTTTCCTACTTCAGATTTGGCACTATAATTCTACAATTGCCTAAACTGCCTATGTAAGGATTTCTCTGCCTTTTTTCAGATACTTTAGCAAATCCTTCATCTCAAAATAATAATTTTCCTAATAAAATAATAAAATAATTTTCCTAATTATTTCATCTAGACCTTGGAGGGGAACTGATTCTCACAAGTTTTAATGAAAGAAATTGGATTATAGCTGCCAGTTATGAGCTCATCTTGACAATAAAGAGTTCCTTCGGTTAAGTTGCTTTTACGGGGAAGCCTGGGCAAAGTTTATCTCGAGAGAAAGACTTACTGGTCATGATACCTGCTGGGAAACAGAAACCAGCATCCCCTGAAGCCTAAGAATTTCCCTGTGGGCCCCTGACCAATGGCCATTCCCTTGGGAACTTGGAGCCTGAGGTGGAAGATTTTTTTTTTACAACTGCTTTCTAGAGCTGCATCTGTTCATCTCCTGCGGAAAAGCTGAACAATTAGTGCAATTACTGCATTTTTATGGAATTTCTATTTTCAAGCTGGAATTTTATGACAGGATACGTCTGGACCCTAATGAGATTGCCATTTGGAGGTTCTCTTAAGAAGAGAGGATAAAGAACACATCCTTCAAGTAAAAAAAAAATGTACTTAATCTATGGGCCTGCTGCTGGTTGTGGGGATGCTTTTCCTAGCTCTGGTATGGAGGGTAGTCTTCTTAAAAGGAAATGCATTCCTCAAAATTCTACCCCCAGTCAAGTCCTTTGAGGCTTACCATGCTAAGGCATAAAGCGGTATTTACCTTGTACATCTGGTGTCATTGTAGTTCCAAGTTTGAAAATGAACAACATGCAAACAGTTTGCTCTCTGGAGAACCGCACAGAAGATTCTCTTGAGCAGTAAAGCCCTTAGTGTGCCTGTGTATCACATACACAGCTTCCCTGTGTTTGCTAGACTTATCTAGAAGTCAGGTCAGTCAGGAGAAACCATACTACTGGTCTAGGGAACCACGGTGAAAGGGAAAAATGCAGCATTGCTTGGTGAGGAAGCTGGGAGGTCCATGTAGAGAAGTAGAATGATTTATTAAAAAAACAATGGGGACAAGATAAAAAAAACTCCAGGAACAAGGTTTTTAAAAATTCCTACCAAGCTGAAAAGATCTCTCAAAAAAACGTGAAAGTACACTTGCTTAAGTATGTCATTTGGAAAAGACTGAAAAATTCTGTCTCCAGCAAGCTGGTTGTACTGGGTGCACCTCAAGAACAGAAAGTGCACACTTACTCTATTCCCATTGAAAAGATGAATGCAGAAGGAATCTAGCAAAATGTACTTTTGTTATTTCCAGGGTTATTTAAAAAAACAATAAACAACCCACTGAGCTTCAGTGTTGCATTACTGTGTATGCAAACAGCCTCTTGAAAGAAAGCATAGCTGTCTAGATGGCCTTTTTTATTCCAGCAAAGTACATTCAACCACGGTGCTTACATTTTCCCTCATAGATAAGACTCTAAAACATTGTTTTGTTAAAAGGAAGAAATGGTCAGGCTGGTGACCAGAAATTTCCAAGCTACCATTTTCAAGGAGCGCTATTCTAGCTCCTTCCTTTCTCTTTGCTGTCTGGTGTTGTGAAAGCAGCTGTGTATGAATGCGAGTGGTATTTTTTCTGTCATCTGACATTTTTAGATGCTACATAAA